TTTGGTCTCCTTGTTCTTGATTTTACTACATTAGACCCTTTGCTTGCCCGCTTTGCACCTCCAGTAGGATATACTGATCAGCTTCCCATATCTATGTCTTGTCCTCTCTTGTGATTGTAAATCTAAGGACAGATTTGGTAACTCTCCTGGCTTAGGACTGCCCACATGAGCCTCCAACATTAATCCTCCAATTGAAAAATCATAAAATAGTGGAGTTCACTAGTGCCCTGAATTCTTTTCCTAACAATAGTGATACCGAAGGGAGTTTTATGGAGCTTGGGAATCTGCTAAGATGTACGGGAGCTCTGTCCTATCTAATCCAGCTGCCAGCTCTAAAGCTGGAAACGCTGAGCAGATATGCCTTCCAGCTCGGTTTGATGGTGACTAGGAGCATGGATTTGAGGGGAGCAGAAGGGAGGAATTCCCTTGACTTGGATGATAAGTGTATGGTGAAGTTCTTACAAATGTATTAGGGGGTACAGAGGGGTGTGGCCTGTGAGTTTAATTGTGGCTATACTAGTATTGAGATGTCCTGAAAGGTACCCAGATGAGTATATCTAGAAAGCAATTGGATAAAACAATTTGAAAATTAGGGAAAAGTCACAGTTGAGGGTTCTTAAACTACAAGAATTGGTGGGATTTCCTTGGGTGTAATGTAGCACTAAAAGTCAATTAATAGCAGAACTCAAAATTTAAATGAAGAAAAAAGAGAACACCATGAAGGGAAGACAGAGAAAGAATTATCTAAGAGTAAAAAACAGAAAAGCAGTCCCAACAAAAAACATAAGGGAAAACATTGAAAGAAGGCTGGATGGATCTATAGTGTCAAATATTGCGGAATAAGATAAGAGTTGAAAACTGACTCTTGAATTTTATAATTAAAGAATAATATAATGTTATTGAGAACAATTTCATTGGAATGGCAGGAGGTGACACCTCATTGTGATTTCTTGAGATCTTATAGCAAGATGAGAAACTGGAAACATGTGTAGAAGATTCTCTTAACTTTAGAAGAGGAAAGATATGATGCGTTAAATTCCTGTAAAGTCCTGGTTGCAGGCCTCCTCCTAATCCCTTAATGCCTGACTCATCTCTCAAGAGTGCAACTTCTCAGACAGCCGCAGCAAAGAACCAGCACTCAGAAACCTAGGCCGCGACAGGTTCGGCAGATACTGACATTTCTGCTGCTTCTCAGCTGTTTCATAACATTTACTAGTACATGCACATCCCCCTGCCATGAGGGTATTCCAGATCATGTGTGCTACAAATGCCACTTCTTTCTCTGTTTCCCACCCAAAATACATTGCCATAAGGTAATGACTGGTGACATTTAAAAAAAAAAAAAAATTTATTGATTTTTTTTACAGAGAGGAAGGGAGAGAGATAGAGAGCTAGAAACGTCGATGAGAGAGAAATATCGACCAGTTGCCTCTTGCACACCCCCTACCGGGGATGTGCCCGCAACCAAAGTACATGCCCTTGACCGGAATCGAACCTGGGACCCTTCAGTCCACAGACCGACGCTCTACCGGTTTCGGCTGACTGGTGACATTTTTATATTGGGTCTAGTAATAATTAATGTCGTTTTAAAACATTCGTTTAAAATCTTGCTTGGCATTGACTTGTATTGACATAATCTTCAAACACGTGGTATCTACAGAATGTGTGAAGTGCAATTAACAAGTTTTGCTTGAAAAAGTTTGTGTTTGGTTTGGTTTTTGTTGCAAAACTAGGGCTAAGAAGATGGCGGATGAAGAGCATATTCGGCACTGCATGCTTTACGAGTTCCAATTAGGAAGAAAAGCAAGTGAGGCTGCAAAAAACATCTGTAGTGCTCTTGGTCAAGATGCAGTTAGCGCCAGAAAATGCCAGCGTTGGTTTGAGAAATTTCGTGAGGGAAATTTTTCGTTAGATGACAAGAGTGGTGGAGGCCGTCTGTCCAATTTTGATCAAGAAGCTCTTCAAGCTCTTTTGGTGCAAAATCCTCAAATTGCCCAACAAGAGCTTGAGACAACTTTAAATTGTTCACAAAAAACAATTTCCAATCAATTGCGTGCACTTGGCAAAGTCCAAAAGTTTGGAAAATGGGTTCCTCATGAGTTGACCGACAACAACCGTAATCAAAGAGTCACAATTTGCAGTTCGCTCCTCTCTCGTCAAAAACCGTTTGCCGTTTTTAGAGCAAATTGTTACCGGAGATGAAGAATGGGTACTGTATGTTAATTTGAAAAGGTGGCCTCAATGGTTGGACAAAAATGAGGCTCCGCAGCCCACGCCAAAACCTGACTTGCATGCGAAAAAAGTGATGTTGTGTGTTTGGTGGAATTTTAAAGGAATTCTTCATTATGAACTTGTACCATCTAACCAAACCATTACAAGTGCAGTGTATAGTGCCCAATTGGAAAGGTTAGCCCAAGCTTTAAGAGAAAAAGAACCCGCGCTGATTAATCGGAAGGGTGTAATTCTTCACCACTATAACGCACGACCGCATACTGCAAGAATCACTGCTGAAAAACTGCGCCAGTTGGAATGGGAAGTTCTCCCTCAACCTGCATATTCTCCTGATATTGCCCCTTCCGATTACCATTTGTTTCGTTCTTTGCAAAACTTTCTTCTTGGAAAAAAATTTAATAATGAAGAATGCCTCAAAAATGCATTGACCAAATTTTTTGCATCAAAATCACAAGAATTTTACAACAGAGGGATTAAAATGCTTCCTGAGCATTGGGCACAAGTAGTAGAAAACAACGGCAACTATATTGTTGATTAAATTTTGTTGTATTGTTTAAATCGATTTAAAAAAAAGTATTAGGAAACGACATTAATTATTACTAGACCTAATAGGTCTAATCTTAACCCATCTTTAAAAAAATGTAATCATTTACAAAGTTTGTCATTGGGAACAAATGTTCTCTCTTCCTTCCCCTCACAACTAGTCATGCTCTGAGACCCTTGCTGATCTTTTGAACTGAGTAGTTCAGTGAAGTTGTTAATGCAATCAAAGCCTTAGCCTAAGTGAACCCAGGGTTCCCTGCTGGTTCTGGTGCCCCCTAGTGAGGAATTCATGACCACTGGGTACGCACTGTCCTTAGACAGTAGCTTTCCCGTACAGTTTTTTATTACCAGTACTGTTTGGGGGCCTTGACAAGATTTTATGAGTATCAGAATGAGTCTGGGTAAAATATTTTCTGACCAGAAAGATAAAAAAGCTGTTTGCCGACCCAGGTCTCTGACTGCCTTCAGCTTTGTGTACTCCTAACTCACTTCCCACCAAGCAAGTCTGTGTACAAGTGGAAATCCTGCCTCCATGTAATTGGCAGCTCTACCCGATTATGTTCCTCTGCTCCCCTCACTTCATTGCTACTCTAGGCAGTACTGGGAAGAACTGTGTGTGCCATAGGAAGTCATATGGAGCACCGGCTAACCTGGGTTTTAGTCTCTGAGTCTATCAGCTCTCCCCTTTTCTTTGAACTCTTCTTTCTAAAGTCCTTCTAGACTTTGGCTTCTTATCAGGAACCCTCTTAGCTTCTTATTCCCTCCTTCTTTGCTTGGCATCCTCCTCATAAGCTTCTTTAGTCTCCACAGAATGAAGCAAACACACATTTATTCTGCTTACTCTCCGTGGGGCCCTGGGGAAACAGGGCTGCAGCTGTCTCACTAGCCCAAGAAAATACCAAGTGCCTCCAACTCAGTTTTGGTTACACTGGAAATCCTCTTTGTATAAAGAAATTTAATCCATCTCTGCTAATGATCTTTCCATGCAGCCTGTGTCAGATTTCATCCAGCTGTCTGGTCCTCAGATTTTTGCTCTTTTAAATGTGTCTTTTACATATATTAAATGAAACATGCCCCAAACTGATGTAAGCAACTTCTTCAACTTACTGCTTCACTTTTTAATGAATAATACCACCATGTCCTGTAGTTACTCAAGGAGAAACCTGGGAGTTAAATTTGACTCCTCACTGTTTAACCATCACCAGAATCCTTTGTCTGGCTCTGAAATGTCTCAAACCAATATTTACTGCCATACATCCTAATTTGCTAAAACTCTGCTCCAGGCAACCTTCATCTGTCACCCACATTACTGTAACAAGCGCCTAACTAGTCTTTAACCTCCATCTCACTTCTCTTATATTCTCCAGATCAGAAATCTTTCAGAAATGCAACGGATCATTTTATTCCCCCGCTTAAAATTCTTCAGGGGTTTTACCATTTGTCCTTAGAAGGAAGTCCAAACTTTTTTTAACATGTGTCTTATAAGATTTCTCATAACCTACCTCGTGTTTGTGCCACTTCTTCCCTTACCTTCTCTGCCTTGGCTGTATTACTCTTTCAGTCCATAGCCACAACTTAATTTGAAAGTAAGGACCTTCAAATTTCTGTACTTGTAATGCTTTGACTTTGAAATTAATATTCTGTTCTTTGACCAGGTAACTCTTACTCATTTTTTTCTTTTAATGCAGCCTAATTATTCTTTAGAGAAAATTCCCCTAAGCTCCTCATCTTTTTTTTAAACAATAAAGTATTTCTACAGATCTTCTAAAAATAAAAGTATTGTCCTTCTATAATACCCTTTATTTTTCATACGATAGCAATTAGTACCTTTTAATTTTAATTACTGTTAAATCCCTAGACTTTAAGCTCTGTCGGGGAGGTAACCTGCTATCTTGCTTGCCGCTGTGAGCTATTCAAAGGTGGAATAATCTTTCCTTGGCGCTTAGGTTTCCATTACCAGGAGTGTTCATGTGTAGGCTCAATAGCTCAAAGTTTGGACTGAAATAGAAAACCATTGGGAAGCCTTTAGGTCCTTTCCAAATAGTCAAACATACAAATAAACGGTTTTAACAGATTCTGTAAGTCAATGTATAAGAATTACACCTAACTGAAAGTACTGAACATTCAATGAATAATCACATATGGAGTACCTAAGAGATGTTTCTAATTTAGAATATCTTATCTGGAATTTATGAAATTAATATTATATTTTGTATCTCTCATAGGTGAAATGAATCAGAAGTACAAGGAGCTTAAAAAAAGAGAGGAAACTATGGATGGTAAGTGGTAGTCTTATAACTATGAAAATATTATAATTTTAGGTAACTGTTCATTTTACCAAATCAGAAATCTCATTTGGGAAGAAATAATCCTATCTAATAAAAGAGTAATATGCAAATTAACCATCACCCCCACGGCAAAAATGGCGGCCCCCATAGCCACAAGATGGTGACGCCCAGTCCCCACTGCTGGAGTGTGTGGGCCTGTCTGCCCAAGGGGGCAGATCCAGCCTTTCCGCTCCACCGATGCTGCAGCATCTGGGCCCCTCAGCCCCACTGGGGTTCGTGTAGACCAAGCGGCAAAGCTGGACCTGCCCCCAGACACTGCAGTGCCCAGACTACTTCCACCCCCAACTACTTTCACTCCCTAGGACAAGCCCCCACCACCCCATGGTCCATGTTCATTAGTTATGCTAATATGCATGCATACAAGTCCTTTGGTTGATGTCTTACCTCCCACTGCCTTCTCTCTGAGGTTGGATGGTCTGTTCAGTATTTCTTTGTCTCTGGATCTATTTTTGTTCATCAGTATAAGTTGTTCATTATATCCCACATATGAGCGGAATAATGTGATATTTATCTTTCTCCAACTGGTTTATTTCACTTATCATGCTTTCTAGTTCCATCCATGCTGTTGCAAATGGTAAAAGTTCCTTCTTATTTTTTTTTTCAATAAATTTTTATTGTTCATATTATTACAAATATTCCTCTCCCCCCCCACCACCATTGCTCTCCTCCACCATGTTCCCACCCCACCCTCTGCCCTTTCCCCACTCCCCATTGTCCTCATCCATAGGTACACAGTTTATGTTCAGTCTCTTCCCACATCCCCCTCTCCCCTTTTCCCCAAGAATCGTCAGTTCACTCCCCTTCCATACCTCTGACTCTATTATATTCAACAGTTAATATTGTTCATCAGATTTTTTTCTAAATTTCCTTGGTTTTTAGATTCACTTGTTGATAGTTACGTATTTGTTGTTCATAATTTTTATCTTTATTTACTTTCTCTTCTGAAAGAACCCCCTTCAGCAATTCATATAATTCTGGTTTGGTGTTGATGAACTCTTAGCTTTTTTTCATTAGTGAAGCTCTTTATCTGACCTTCGATTCTGAGTGATAGCTTTGCTGGATAGATTATCTTTGGCTGTAGGTTCTTACTATTCATCACCTTGAATATTTCTTGCCATTCCCGTCTGGCCTGCATGGTTTCTGTTGAGAAATCAGCTGACAATCGTATAGGTGCTCCTTTATAGGTAACTACCTTCTTTGCTCTTGCTTCTTTTAATATTCTCTCTTTGTCTTTTTTTTATTTTTTATTTTTTAAATAAATTTTTATTGTTCATATTATTACAAATGTTCCTTTCCCTCCCTTCTCACCCCACCCTTTGCCCTTTCCCCACCCCCCATTGTTCTCATCCATAGGTGCACAGTTTATGTTCAGTCTCTTCCCACATCCCCCTATCCCCTTTTCCCCAAGAATAAACAGTTCACTCCCCTTCCATACCTCTGATTCTATTATATTCAACAGTTAATATTGTTCCTCATATATTTTTTTTTTTTTTAGTTTCCTTGGTTTTTAGATTCACTTGTTGATAGTTACGTATTTGTTGTTCATAATTTTTATCTTTATTTACTTTCTCTTCTGAAAGAACCCCCTTCAGCAATTCATATAATTCTGGTTTGGTGGTGATGAACTCCTTTAGCTTTTTTTTATTAGTGAAGCTCTTTATCTGACCTTCGATTCTGAGTGATAGCTTTGCTGGATAGATTATCTTTGGCTGTAGGTTCTTGCTATTCATCACCTTGAATATTTCTTGCCATTCCCGTCTGGCCTGCATGGTTTCTGTTGAGAAATCAGCTGACAATTGTATAGGTGCTCCTTTATAGGTAACTATCTTCTTTGCTCTTGCTTCTTTTAATATTCTCTCTTTGTCTTTTGCTCTTGGAATCTTAATTATGATTTGTCTTGGTGTGGTCCTCTTTGGATTCCTTTTGTTTGGAGTTCTGTGCGCTTCCTGGACTTGTAAGTCTAATTCTTTCACCAGGTGGGGAAAGTTTTCTGTCACTATTTCTTTCAGTATGTTTTCGATGTCTTGCTCTCTCTCATCTTCTGGGACCCCCATAATTCTGATGTTGGTTCGCTTGAAGTTGTCCCAGAGGTTTCTTACATTATCTTCAATTTTCTGGATTCTCTTGCCTTCTAGTTTCTGTGGAGGAGTGTCTTCTGGCTCTTTATGTTCCAACTCTTTGACTTGATTCTTGCGATCTTCCATTCTGTTTTTTAGGACTCTGTATAATATTTTTTATTTGTCAATGTATTCTTTATTTCTTGTTGATCCCTTATCATTTCTTGTTGATTCCTTATTCTAGTTGATCCCTTTTCATATCCTCATAGGTCTTATCCATCTTTTCTAGGAAATTCTTGAAAAACCTTATAAGCGTAGATTTGAACTCTATATCCAGTCGCTTTTTGTCCTCCATTTCTTTCGTTTGTGATCTATTTCATCTCGGCATTTTCGCAGCTTTCCTGAGTTGGTAGCCTTAAAAGTCTCTGTGTTCTGCTTGGATGGGGCGGGGTTTCAGGGTGGAGCCTACAGCTTTGGCTTCCGTCAGTCCCACCCTATGCAGGTTCTTCAGTACTCCATTACAAGCGCCTCTGAGAGAAAGGTGCTATCGATTTTCGCCTGCTGCCCAACAGTCTATGCTCTCCCCCAATGAGCCCGGTATTGGGGTTCAGTTCAGTTGGAAGTGGAGTTGGAGGTGGCGTTCAGAGCAGTCTGGAGTCCCTGTCTCCTTCCCGCCAGAGCAGTCCCGCAGCACAGCCAACCATCCCTTCTCTGCGCACAATGTGCGTGCTTCTGGGATTTCCTTTTGCCGCTCCCCCGGGGTTCCGCCTTACAGCCCAGCTCCCTCTGTGTGAACCTGGGTTCCCGGGGTCTGGCCTAGAACTGGGGTTCAGAGCAGTCGGAACTGGGGCCCAGCACAGTCGGAGTTTTATCTCCTTCCCGCTAGGGAACGCCCGCCAGGCACCCAGTCTCCCTCCTCTCTGGCTCCGTCCTCTCCCTGCGCTGCGTGTCTCTGTACCTTAGGCTTTTACAGCTCCTCCGCGCTTCCTTCTGGTTTTCTCCTTGCTTCTTGTAGAATTTCCAGTCAGTTGACTTTCCTGTAGTTCTGGGTAATGTCCATTTTATATTTTAGTTGTATTTTATTGAAATTGTTGTGTGCGGCTGCGGCTAGGTGTTCACCTGTCAGCCATCTTGGAATGACTCCGGAAAAAAGGTAAAAGTTCCTTCTTTTTTATAGCAGCATAATTGTAGATATACCCCCATTTTTTAATCCACTCATCTGCTGATAGACACTTAGGCTGTTTCTAAATCTTAGCTATGGTGAATTGGGCTGCTATGAGCATAGGGGTGTATAAATCCTTTCTGATTGGTGTTTCTGGTTCCTTGTGATATATTCCCAGAAGTGGGATTACTGGGTTGAATGTTAGTTCCATTTTTAGTTTTTTGAGGGAACTCCATGCTGTTTTCCACAGTGGATGTACTAGTTTGCATTCCCACCAGCAGTGCAGGAGGGTTCCTTTTTCTCCATATCCTCACCAACACTTGTCATTTGTTGATTTGTTGATGATAGCCATTCTGACAGGAGAGAGATGGTATCTCATTGTCCTTTTGATTTGCATCTCTCAGAGGATTAGTGACTTCGAGCATGTCTTCCATATGTCTCTCGACCTTCTGTATGTCCTCTTTTGAAAAGTGTCTATTTAGGTCCTTTGCCCATTTTTTGATTGCATTGTTTACCTTCTTTTTGTTAAGCTGTATGAGTTCCCTGTAAATTTTGGAGATTAAGTCCTTATCTGAGATAGCATTGGCAAATATATTCTCCCATGCATTGGGCTTTCTTGTTGTTTTGTTAATGGTCAATTTATTGTTTTATGTTAGCAGTAAAATTATTTTTAACTATATGTTTTTAATTTTAGAAGATCTGTAGATACTTTGAGAAAGTAAATAAGAGCAAATTGGGTACTGGTTCTATATTAGACAAGAAGAAAAATGAGTTCTTAGAATATTTATAATCTGAACAAATTATTAAACTTATTTACTTGAGATTCAGCATTATAAGTAATATAATATAATACTGATTTTCAGATATTATAGTAATCAGTAATGTTTTCAGAAGTAGTGTTAGTGGCTAATTATAGATATTAATAATTGTAGATGTATCAAAGAGATCCTATGTAAACACAGGTTTTTTTTTCTGATTTTTTAAAATTAACAGTTACTTTTGGACCCATATACATTTTTAGTTTACTTGTATCATATAAGTTTATAACAATTAAGCTTTAAAAGTTTGAATGTAGAAATGTTCTCATTGAGTAATTGCCCTTGGGTTAATAAAATATTAGACATAGATAGTTTTAAATTTGCTATGAATTTCTACTCCTAAGACCCACAAATCAGTGTTTATATAGTGTGAACTATAGCAAGAGTAGCCTCTCATCATATTTCTCAATTGGCAGCTTTTATTGAGGCTTTTGAGGGAAATAAAAATCAGGAACTGGAACGGAAGGCACAGATAGAAGCTGACATTGTTGCACTTTTGGAGCACAGTAGTCGGGTGAGTACCATGTACCTTTCCTGGTGTCCTCGTTACTTTTACTGTGATTACCTCTTTCAGTTCAACTAAAAAATGCATGGTTCATTACTGCATTTGTTCATTTAAACTGTTCCTTTAAAATTCTCTTGCTTGTTATTCTATTTCCTTAAGCTATTAATTTTTTGTCTTTCGAATTCAGCTAATTAGTTGTATTATGGGGAAAAGAATGACATGTATATCAATATTATATATATATATATATATATATATATATATATATATATATGATGTCAATATTCAGCAGTAAGTGAGGGACTAATTTAATTATTAAGATTTTCTTCTATTGTTAATTTCTATGAACTTTTAGAAATAGCATTTGCACAGATAAACTTGAAAAGCCAGATACACGATATTGGAAAATGTTAATATATGTTTTTAAATATATTTTACCCTGTAATATATATTATAAACAAAAAGGTACGAGGTATCTAATGAGTATCTTGTTTCACTAAAACATGTTTATTAGGCAGCCACTGGTGTTTGGTACCAGGAGAGGAGAAATACGTGTTTCTTTTCAATATTCTTAGTGTTTTAAGACTTGAATTGGTTCCTAAAATAGTATTGTTGAGTTTTTTGTACGATGAAATAAAGCAAATCTTTTTTAAAATTCTGAGTTTTAATTTAGCCTGTTTTTATTGAGAAAACCTGATTTGCATCTCACTCTGTTCTTCTATGAAACATATGTAATAAATGATGTATTTCAAAGAATACCCATTCAAAATATCCAATCCTTTAGCAGTATTTTCTACGAGTTTTGTTGAAGAGTTAAATTTGTGGATTTTTTAAAAATTGTTTTTATTTCTCTTCATATACAGAATATAAATCGTATGAAACAGATATCCTCTATCACCAATCAAGAGCTGAAGATAATGCAAGATGATCTCAATTTTAAATCTACTGAAATGCAGAAATCACAAAGTACAGCTAGGAATTTGACTTCAGGTAAGAAAACAACCTAGATTTTAAAAACCTTTTTTTTGTGTGTGTAATAAATGTTATTCTCTTTGATTTTTGTTTTAAAGACCGAAGACATGATTTATGAATGCTTATTTCTTCAAATCATTTATAGTCTCAGCATTTTGTGTGACTTTTCACAATAATTTAATAGTATTTCATTGAATAGTCTTATTCATTTAACATTTATTAAAATATCTATATCTGTATTATAACTTAGTTATTCCCAGATTAAAAAAAAAATCCACTCTGTTCCCCCTAGAAACTTCCAACCTGGTGGAATTGAAAGTAAACATCTATCTTCTATAATAATAAAAGTATAATATGCTATAATAATTAGACCAGATGTCCTTCCGGACCACCTTTCGGATGAAGCTGGGGCTGAGAGGAAGCCTGGGTCCTAAGTGCCAGAGGGAAGCCAGTGCCAGCAGCCAGGGGAAGGAAGACTTACTCTTTTTATTTGATTGATTTTTTTACAGAGAGGAAGGGAGATGGATAGAGAATCAGAAACATCAATGAGAGAGAAACATCGATCAGGTGCCTTCTGCACACCTTCCACTGGGGATGTGGGCACAACCAAAGTACATGCTCTTGACTGGAATCAAACCTGGGATCTTTCAGTCAGCAGGCCGATGCTCTCTTCACTGAGCCAAACCCGTTAGGGCAAAAAGGCCTACTCTTGCACAAATTTTGTGTATCGGCCCTCTAGTCCTATATAATAAAAGCTTAATATGCAAATTGTCCCCTCCACAGGGGGTGCAACCAGGGGGTGGGCCAGCAGCAGCAGGCGGCTGGGAAGGGAGGTCCCCTCCCACCCCTGCCCTGGACAGCGGCGCCAGCAGCAGTGACAGTGGTGGCAGGTGGCAGGGGAACAGGAGAAGGGAGGCGCCCTGGCCAGCAGCTGGTAGCTGCTAGGGACCCTACATTCTGTGCACTGGGCCTCTAGTTAAAATATAGTGAAATAGTGCTATAATAGAAGCACAGGAGCAATGGAAGTACATACATAGGACTCATGTTCACCCCAGTCTTGGGTAGTTAAGAGAAGTATCCTAGAGGAAGTAATGTTTATATTATAATTAGTTTCAGCAATGATGATTAATCTGAGAATAGAACAGCACTGTCCAACAGAAATGTAATGCCAGCCACATATATAATTTTAAGTTTCCTAGAAGCCATGTTAAAAAAGTAAAAAGAGATAGGTGAATTTGAATAATGTATTTCATTTAACCCAGTGTGTCCAAAATAAGACCATTTTAACAGGTAACCTATATATATATACAGAGTCAGGGTCTGTAACATCCACAACTACCGAAGGCTCCACCTAACACCCAGGCTGCATGCGCAGCTGGTCTGGTGGGTGGCGACTTGTGGCATCGGGACCAGGGGAGGCGGGGCCAGCACTCACACTCACTCACAACCTCACACACACACACACACACACACACACACACACACACCACCCACCAGCTCACAGCCTTTTATTCCTTTCTTTCCCTCTCTCCCAGCTCACTTTCCAGTTGAAATGTGACTAGGACTTTCATTACTCTGTTGAATAAGAGTGGTGAAAGCAGACATCCCTGTCTCTTGTTTCCAATCTTAAGGGAAATGCTTTTAGTTTTTGTCCATTGAGTATGACATTGGCTGTGGGTTTGAAATATATTGTTTTTATTACATTGAGGAATGTGTCCTCTATTCCCACTCTGCTGAAAGTTTTTCTTATAAATGGGTGCCAAGTTTTATTAAATGCATCTTCTGCATCAGTTGATATGATCATGTGGTTTTTATCCACTTTGTTTATGTGGTGTATCAATTTTATTCATTTGTGGATATTGTACAAACCTTGCATCCTAGAATGAGCCCTACTTGTTCATGGTTTATAACCCTTTTAATGTATTGCTGAATCTGGTTTGCTAATATTTTGTTAAAGATTTTAGCATCTATGTTTATCAGAGATATTGGCCTGTAATTTTCTTTGCTTGTAGTATCCTTATGTAGTTTTGGAATTAGGATAATTCTGACTTCTTAAAACAAGCTTGGGAATCTTCCCTCTTCTTAAATTTTTTGGGAATAGTTTGAGAAGCATAGGTGTTAGTGCTTTGAATATTTAGTAAAATTAACCTGTGAAGCCCACCTGGTCCAGGACTTCTGTTTATTGGGATTTTAAAATTATTATTATTGTTGTTGCTTCAATTTCAGTAGTAGTAACATGCCTATTTATATTCTGTGATTTTTCTTGATTCAGTTTTGGGAGATAGTATGTTTCTAGGAATTTATCCATTCCTTCCAGATTGCCCAATTTGTTGGCATATAGTTCATAATATTTTCTTAAAATCCTTTGTATTTTTTGGTGTTAGTTCTCTTTTATTTCTGATTTTATTTATTCAGGTCTTCTCTCTTTTTTTCTTTATGAGTCTGGTTAAAGGTTTGTCAATCTAGTCTATCTTTTCAAGGAAGCAGCTCTTGGTATGATGGATCTTTGGGTTGTTTTTTTAAGAATCTATTGCATTTATTTCTGCTGTGATCTTTATTATTTCCTTCCTCCTATTCACATTGTTTTTTTTTTTGTTTTGTTTTGTTTTTTGTTTCTTTTTCCTGTTTAAGTGTAGAGCTAGATTTTTTTATTTGAAATTTTTTCGTGTTTCTTGAGGTAGGCCTGTAATGCAATGGATTTTCCACTTAGGATTCCTTTTGCTATGTCCCATAGGTTTTGGTTTGTTATGTTTTCATTTTCATTTGTTTCAAGGTATCTTTTGATTTTGTCCTTGATCTTGTTAACCCAGTCACTATTTTGGAACCATGGTATTTAGCCTCCATGTCTTTGTGTGTTTTTCTGTTTGTTTGTTTTTTGTGTTTTTTTTTCCTTGTGATTGATATCTAGTTTCATACCATTGTGATCAGCGAGGATGCTTGATATAATTTAAATCTTCTTAAATTATTGACATTTGTTTTGTGTTCTAACATGTGGCCTGTCCTACAAAATGTTCTATATATACTTGAAAAAAATGTATACTAGTATTTTGCTTTGAAATGATCTGCTGCTCTGATTAAACTTAACTGATATAGTGCATCATTTAATGCCATTGTTTCCTTATTGATTTTCTGTCTGTAGGATCTATCCATTGATACCAGTGAGGTGTTAAAATTCCCTACTATGACTGTATTACTGTCAATCTCACCCTTTGTGCCTATCAAGATTTTCTTTACACGTTTAGGTCCTCGTACGGTGGGTACCTAAACGTTCACATGGATTATATCCTTTTGTTGGATTGCTCCCTTTGTCATTTTTTTAGTGTGCTTCTTTGTCTCTTACTACAACCTTTGTTTTAAAGTTTATTTTGTCAGATATATGTATTTCTCCCCACCTTTTTTTTTTTCATTTTTTTTTTTTCATTTCACTTGCATGAAATTTCTTTCATCCCTTTACTTTTAGTCTGTGTGTATCTTTAATTCTGAGGTGGACCTCTTGTAGACAGCATATATATTGGTCTTCCTTTCTTATCTATTCAGCTATTCTATATCCTTTGATTGGAACATCTAAGCCATTTATATATAAAGTAATTATCGATAGATACATATTTATTACCATTTTATTCTTTTCACTATGTTTGTTTGTTTTCTTTTTTTATTTCTTAAAGCAGTCCCTTTAACATTTCTTATAATTCTGGTTTAGTGGTAGCAAACTTCTTTAGCTTTTTCTTGCCTGGTAGGCTCTTTATTTCTCCTTCCAATTCAAAAGATACCCTTGCTGGGTAAATTAGTCTTGGTTGTAAGTCCTTGCTTTTCATCAGTTTGAAAAATGTGTTTTTCATCACTTTCTGACCTGAAATGTTTCTTTTGAGAAATCAGCTGACAGTCTTATGGGAGCTCTCTTGTAGGTAACTAACTTCCTTTCTCTTGTAGATTTTAAGATTCTTTCTCTGTCTTTAAACTTTTCCGTTTTAATTATGGTGTGTTTTGGTTTGGACCTTTTTGTATTAATCTTTTTTGGGATTCCCTGCACTTCCTGAGCTTGCATGTCTTTTTCCTTCACCCAGTTAGGGAAGTTCTCTTCAAATAAGTTCCCTGTCTCTTGCTCTCTCTTCTTCTTCTGGTACCCCTATGATGCAGATGTTGTTACACTTTATGTTGCTCCAAAGGTCCCTTAAACTACCCTCATTTTAATTTAATTTATTTTTTAATATATTTTATTGTTGTGGGTTTTTTTTGTTTTTTGTTTTTTGTGTTTTGTGTTTTTTTTTACAGAGAAGGGAGAGGAATAGAGAGTTAGAAACATCAATGAGAGAGAAACATTGACCAGCTGCCTCCTGCACACCCCCTACTGGGAATGTGCCCACAACAAAGGTACATGCCCTTAACTGGAATCGAACCTGGGACCGACCCTTCAGTCCGCAGGCCAACCGATGTTCTATGCACTAAGCCAAACCAGTTAGGGCTATTTTATTTTTTTGTTGTTGATAATCCTCACCTGAAGATATTTTTTTCATTGAATTTTAGAGAGTGGAAGGGAAGGGGAAAGACAAAGAGAGAGAAATATTGTTGTAAGGAAGAAACATTGATTGATTGCCACCTACATGTGCCCTCACTGGGGCCAGGGATTGAGCCTACAATTGAGGTAGTGCCCTTGACAGGAATCAAACCTGAGATCCTTTTGTCCCCAGGCCAAACTCTAAAACAGGCCAGGGCTACCCTTATTTTAAAAAGATGTTTTCTTTTTGCTGCTCTGATTGGATGTTTTCTGCTACATTATCTTCTAAATTGTTGATTTGATCCTCTGCTTCATCTAACCTACTACTTACCTCTGCTACCCCCTGAGTCTGCCCGGATCTCCTTCAGATCCTTCCAAGAAAGTCTGCACTGTGGGCCCAAGCTGGCCACAGCCTGCTGACTCTGCCATAGGGCACTAGTTTGGCAGGTCAGGGCCACAGGGAGCTGGGAGGGCGGGCTTAATGTGTTCCCTCAGGCTGATGCCTTATGGAGGGGAGTGCTTA